GACAGTTGATCCTCCTTTCCTGTTTGAAATTACTTTCTTGTAAGTAGGCTTTTATAGGACCATAATTTCCTAACCTCCTTCCCACCTTTCTGATCTTTTTGTTGGTCTTTTTTATTAGATACCCATCAGCTCCCCTACTTCAAATGTTGGCAAACACCACCTGAGTCATCTCATCTCATGGGTTTAATATTTATTGGCTGATGATTCTTAAATTTATATCTTTGGCCTTTCCTTCAGCTCTAGACTTATGTGTTTACTTGAGTGTCTAAAGGCATTGGAAACTTAATATGTTCAGAATTCAGCTCTTGATATTTGCCAGTCCCACTCCTTGCATGAACATTTCTTATGTAATGCATCAGCTCATAAATGAAAACTTCATTCTTATTTAGAGCAAAAGCCTATGCATCATGCTTTGCCTATACTGTGTGCCCTGCCCACATGAGCTTTGTGAGTCCTGAGGCCTCTGTATCCTTACCACCTGATCCTACTACCCTCATCCAGCCACCACCATCTTCCTTTTTTAACTGCTCTCCCTGATTCTGCCTTGCCCTGCCCACCAAAACCCCATGTTGACACCTTAGCTTGAGGATCCTGTCAAGTCAAAGAGGAGATCATTCATGACTCTTGAGTACTCCAGACCTTCAGTACCATCTCACTCAGAGTAAAAGTCCCCAAGTTCTTTGACCTGCATGGTTTTTCATCATTCTTCAACATTTGCACTCTGAATCCTTAATTTCCCTAACCTTGCCCCCAAAGCACAGTGTCCCTCCAAGTTGTAGCTCTTGCTTTTCCTGTAGACCTCAGGGCTAAGTCCCTCACTTCCTTCTGGTGAGTGTCCTACCTAAAATTTCATTCTCCTTTCCTAACATTTCACATACTTTAATCCTATTTTACTTTTTTTCCTTTTGCACCTGTATCTTGATCTGTTAACACACCAGACATTTTACTCATGGGTTCACAAGGAATCAGCTCCTCAAGCACAGGGATTTTTGTCTTATTTCACACACTGCTGGAAATGGAATTCACACTAAGTACCAAATAAAAAAAATGAGTGAACTGATTCTTGAACTAGGAACATATAAATGAGAGTTTTTACTTAGGGTCTGATAAAGAAGAAAATAGCCATCAATTACAATTCTTTAAATAGGTATTATGATAGAGTATCATACAGAGGCAGGCTATCAAAGAGAACTAAGGAAGTTTATGTAATAGGAAATCTAAGCTAGGTCTTAAAGAATATAGAAACGTTTATTTAGAAGCCAGAGGGAAGGGTGTATGAGTAGGGTGAGTGATCGATAGAAACATTTCTTTGACCAGTAATTCTACTCCAGGAATTGTATTCTGAGGAAATAGCCTAAAATGACTATTGCTAATAACACAAACAAGCTAACCAAAGTAGAGCCTTACTGCAGTATTCTTTACAGTGCCACAATTGTATTGGAAACACTAAATATTCAAGAGAAACTATCCACATATATTTTCTCCGATCTTAACAACTCTAAAATCATGTATTTTCTAATATTAAGTAAAAAAAAAAATGGATTGAAAATTATATCCATGTTGTCATCAGGAAGGTGTGTTTGCAAGAACATGACATTCATACAACTTGCCATGATAAAAAGAGTTATCTTGTAAAGCTTGGGAAGTCATTGTAGGGTTTAAGCAGTGCAGTGACATGATCACATTTTTAGCTTAGGAAGGCCACTTTGCCTATAAGAAGGTTTTATGTCTTTAAAGCCATTTAATAAGTCAGCTTTAGTGTGGCATTTCTATTAAATGACCCACTAGAAATAATATCTGGCCTTAGAGGACTTTGGGCAGTACCATTTATCAATCAGTAAGAAAGCGTTTTTTGTATTTTATCAAGTATGGCCTTACCAATAGGTATTGGTTAGCTCTTAGCTGTGGTTGTGACAGATATTATGGGTGTTGGCAGTCAGTGTATAATTGAATGTGGTGAAGGCACAGTGCCTGTTCTGGTTAGCATGCATGCATATCTAGAGGGGGTGTTTCTGTGAAATGTCCTCTGTGTTGTTTATGATTAAATATTAAGGACAAGTCAAAAGGAAAAGTTTTTGTGACAATAAAAACTTAGGGGAAGTTAGAAAAGATGTAGTTAGATAGTCTTACTGGAGCTGGATATTGGAGATTGCCAGTTTGTAAAGTTCACAAACTTTAAATTGCTTATAAAGATTTGGTGTTTTGTTTGTTTGTTTCCAGCTTCCAGAAATGTTGCATGGTGATGGTGACAACGAAGAGCATGGCTTTTGTCCAGTAGGGCAATTCATTCTTCAGAATTTAGGGTTGCTGTTTGGATTTGCCATCATGCTGGTGATCGCCCTCTATGAAGATAAAATTGTGTTTGACATCCAGTTCTGACCATTCCCAGTAATCACTGTTGATTACGAGAATGTTACCATTCAGCTTTGCATCTGTTCCTTGTACTGTATGCACATTGCTCAAAGAAAAGTCAGTGGCTTGCACTACTTACAAGTTCCATAGATTTGAGCCTAACTACAAAAGACTGGTGCTCAGTACTGTGTTCCCTATATGAAGGGTCTTTTAAAAACAAACTTGGTGATAAAGAGGAGAAAATGGGACTCTATGAACCAATGTTGATACAGGTTTGATTAAAACTTTTTAAAAAATAATCATATAAAACACTAAAGTAGTCTCTTTATTAGTAGAAACTTCTGTGGCTATGCAGAACTAGAAATTAAACCAAAAAAATCATTTAAACTTTAAAAATATTTTAAATGGACTTTGAGCAGACATTTTTGTGTATGCTAAGAATGAATTGTAGTGCCCTTTAATTCAGCTACATATATACATATGGTAATAGGGATCAACTTGACACAACTTTGAAACCGCCTAAAGTAGACTATAGGAACTAGAAGAAAGCTCAGGCTGCATTAGAATATGAATTTAGCATCGGGAAAAGCCCTTATTCTTGAATCTAGAGTTACTATTTTTGTATATATTTGCATAGTGTTTAAACTTGCAGCCTAAACTACTGAAATTTGTGATTGTATGTTTGTGTGAGCTTCAGTTTAATGAAAGATTCATAATGGTTTTTGTATTATTATAATACTTGGTGTTTGGGGGTATTTTTCTTTTTTTTTTTTAACTTCAATTTTGTTTTTGTTCTGCGGTTTTTCAGGGGAGGTGGGGATCAAAGCATGTGGTCAAATGTATTTTTCTTAAAATTATAACTCTAGAAAATATGAACCCAAACATGGTCTAAACTATTCAATTTTTCAACTTTACAGTACTGACTAGGTTAAATGGGAAATTTAAGTTCTGAATGTTCTGTAAACAGTTTAGCATTGGAACCAACGCCAAATGGAGCACATGCTGTGGCTGGCAATAAAGTTGGAAGGCAGAAAATCCAAGTTTACCATGCCTGTGATGTGTATGTGAAGTGTCAGTTAAAACAGTTTCGAGGATAAACTACACTGATGCCATGGCTATCAGGGTACCAAGTAAATGACTAAGCTGAAATCACTTGATCATTTTGTGCCAAGATATGCTGTTGGTGCCTGATAGGGATTAGTCTCTTTTTTAGGTGCCCTGTTCTTCTACCATAATTGTAAATGATTTGTGAGAAGTGCAAGCCATGTTTATCCTAAATTTTGATCCAATAATTTATAGTACTAGTCATACGCATGTAGCTTTCTGTTTACATCTTGTGCCACATGGTCTTCATTTATGCCAGGTAAACTATATTTGAACTGTGTGCAGCTAGCTTTGTTTTAATCAGCTTGGCAACGAGTGTGACTTTTTAAAAAAAAAAAAAAATCTTGCTGTTCAAATATGTAAGAGCCAAACTCTCTTTCCATTCCATTTTAAGTGTCTCTATTTAATCCTTCTCCTTTTCCTCTTACTCTATGAATTTTTTTAACAAAAACAAAACTTTGAGAGCAGCACATGTGTCCAGGTATTACTAGATTTTTGCCAGTGTTTCTTCTTTATGCTGTAAGCAAGGGAGATTAGGTTTTGTTACATCTTTAATTTATTTCTGAATTTGAAAAATCATTTCTGGCTTTCTCTGTGGCCTCCCTCCTTGTAATAAGTAGGAGTTTTATACATAGTTTGTTTTCAGCAGTGGGCACTGAATTAGGACAGTCCTCATCTCATTGCTTGGCCCTTCAAGCAACCTAGCTAAAAGGTGCTGATATTTTATTTAGTACTGCCAACTTAGTGATCGAAATATCTTGCTTTTTGAACCAAGATATTTGTAGTTCATTTTTGGGTTTTGATACCCAGCAAACATTCTGCATTCCAGCATTAAATCTGCTTCATTTAAAAGCAACAGCTGGAATATATACCAGTCTTAAATGCCTCATTTAAAGCAAATTGGTTATGCTAAAATTTTATATTCTCTCAAAAATGGTATTATCTTTATTTGCTAGATTTTCTTAACCTGTTAAGAGTGCTGTAACAGTTGCTGCTAGTATTTTGATAGGGTTCCACCAGTATTTAGTTTTCACATCATTCTAACGTATAGTTTCAAGTCTTACTAGACAATCTTAATTCCACTACATTTCTGTTTGGCTCCAACATTCCATTTAGCTTGACCAGTCTAATTTTAACTTGTGTTTGTTGGAGGTCATTAATGTTACTTGTACAATGCTGTCACTGTGTGACATCCATATGAATTTTAGTGTATATCACATTGCAGTCAATCAGCTGTGATTATGCTTAGAAATACTATAGTAACTAGATGCAGTGTGAATTTTTTCCATTAACAGTCAGTGGCTTATATGTGATTATGGTCCTGCAAGGTGATACTTGCTAAAATATCTAAACTTTTTTTTGTTGTTGTAACTGAATCATTTTTTTAAAAAAAATTATAAAGCTGGAAATGATCAAATGCTGTTTTTTTCATTGTCAACAGTGGTGTGTCATTTTATGTATGTTCCTAATGCTTATGGAACTCTCCCAAAATAAAGTTATTCAGAAAGAGCACATACATATACCAGTGTGGTTTTTTTTTCCAGTATCTACATCACAGTATTTCCTTAAAGTATGAATACTTTTAAATTTAGACTGCATTTGCACATAAGTAAATTCATACTTTTGAATAATGTTAGTCAAATATACTTAAACTAAAAAAATTATTTCAACAGAATAAAATATACTTTCCATTTAAATAACAAATAGGAACAAGAAAATGACATGTTTGTGTTATGAGTTAAGTTGACACAACAGTGCTACACCACGTCCAATCCAGTGCTCCTTGGGTTGCTCAGAGGGAAGAATCATGGCAATTACAAAGTTCGTAGAATGGCCAGTGGTGGATAGTGTTCCTCTCCGCTCACTTGTCTTATACAATGGAGCAACGTAACTTGGTCGTTTGGGTATATCTGCCCGTTTACAGGGCTTTAGCCACATCTGGAAGAAATTGCATAACACTCTTTAGGTCAAGGCTATTATACCTACGTGTATTTGTGGTATTCTCAGATTAAGGTTAGTCATATCTTCAAATTTCTGTGGCACAAACAGATTTTGGGTTTTGAGCAATCATAACACTGAAGTTGAGATCTTAAATTTTTTTTTTTTTAAAGATCTCAACTTCAGAACCAGTTTAAAGACAGAAAAGGTAGTTTTTACTTATTTTTGAAAATAAACTGTTTATCATCTCTCTACCATACTTACCTGGGGATGATTTTGGGACTTGCAATAACAAAACAAAAGTCACATTTATTTTGAAAGAAGAAAATTATTACTAAAAACCCTGTATCTTCTTTGGTGGCTGGTGGGGGTCTACCAGGGATTGAACTCAGGGACACCCAACCACTGAGCCACATTCCCAACCTCATTTTGTATTTTATTTAGAGTCAGGGTCTCACTGAGTTGTTAAGCACCTCATTTTTGCTGAGGCTGGCTTTGAACTCGCAATCCTCCTGCCTCAGCCTCTGGAGCTGCTGGGATTACAGGCKTGTGCCACCACTCCCAGCACCATGTGAGTTAATTTAAAGCCAGTTCCAAAAAATTTAGGAGCTCTTATTAACAGCTATATAATTAAATCACCTATTTATGAGACTATTTTTAAGTGGTTAATACGTGTATCATGCTATCTGATTAGAACATTGTCGTGAGGCAGGCACGATGACTGAATAGAGGTACCCAGCACTAAATTGAACTCTCCACGAAGAGCAAAAGCAATGGATGTATAGCTGCATACTGAGGTGAGTGGCAATTGGATAACACTGGAATACAACAGTAGAGAAAAACAAACCTTGCAAAACCCAGAGACAGGGACAGCAGCAAAGCAAGAGAAAACAGCCCAGTCTCTTCATTGGGGTAAATGTGGAAGTCTCAGTAAACTATACCAGTGCTGATACTGGTAATCCAAGCCACTAGGAAGTTTCCCAGCCCTTGTAGGCCTACATCTTAAATTAGAGACCTGAAATTCATAGCAGTTTGGCTTAGGAAAAGGAATTCACTCCATCTCCCAGCAAGGAGTCAGGGTGCTGTAACCCAGAGCATTTTAGGGGTTAGAAATTCCTGCATATTCCCATCTCTGGGATCTAGACATTCACTACAACACCTCACTAGCTTGATGGGTAGATGTCTCACAAATCATTGAGACTGGTACATAGTGGTGGACAGATGTGATGTGGAGGGGAGCAGAATGCCATTCACAAGAACTGGATTGGGGCACTTGCTCCCAAGACCAAGGCATGTCCAGTCATGTGTGGGTGCCAGAACTAAGGGCATTTGTGAAGGTTTCTACCACGTCTCTCCCAGCACTGCATGGGTATCTAACCAGGTGGAGAAAGACAGTTTCCATGGCTCCCAGCAGAGGCAGTCTCCTGCAGCGCTGTGGCCCCATCCCCAATGTGTACAGCCTGGGAAGGTCACACTCCCTCACTCTTGCAAGCACCTCAGCCAAGATCTTTTTTCACCAAAATATTTTCTATTTCACAATTTTTTCCAATTGTGATCAACTCCCACTTGATAATTCCTGGAAAGAACTAGAAATCAAGAAGCGGAAGAGGAAAAAAGTTCTCAGAGGCTGCCCTGTCCTTGGGGTACACAGCCTAACATCTGGAGAGAATCAGTCCAGTGCCTGATGGCCTTCTCTTCTCACTTTCTCCTGGAAGAAACCTTGCCGGGCTCCAGTCACCAACTCTCACTTTGATCCTTCACAGGCTACAATTGAAAAACTGAAGGGAGAAAAGCTCCCAGTTGTCACCTTGCCCTTGGGGGGAAAGTCTAAGAAAGTCTGGAGACAAATTAAGAGAGAAACATTCCCAGTGTCAGATATACTCTGCTTTCCCTCTCTACTGTAAGCGCCTCCCTTAAGAGGAGCTTTGCCCAGCTCCAGTTGTACCTATTCCCACTCAATCCCTGGCAGGTACCACAACTGAAAGAATAAGGAGAGAAAAGTCATCAGCATTGCCACATCCTCGGGCATGGACAGCTACAGAGGATCTGAGGTTCCACTCCCAAGCAGGCATTCTCATGGTACAGCAAAGAGAATCAACAACTTTTGTTACCACATTTGTTACAACTTTTGTTATGTACATGGGTCTTTGGCCTGGGTTACCTCTGCACCTTGTCTGATCGTGTACTGCTGACGAGACTGGATGTGTCAAAGAGAAGAGGCTGTGAATCCACCTTTCTCTGTGAATTACGGGAACCTACACCAATATCTCATCAGAGGACAAGTGTTTTAGGCCTTTTCACCACTACTAGAGCAGTCAGTACCAGATACCCTTTCAAGTAATAGCCAATAGGAATAACCACACAGGATGCATCCTACATACTCTGTTGTCTAACACCACACCTACCTGAATTGGTAGAGTATCCCACTCCTGCAAACCTGCCGAAAGAATCATCTCTATGATGCCAAATACAATACAGTCTACACAGTGCTCAAACTCACTAATCACGGGTGAAGAAACAACAGAAAGATTTTACTATGGTACCAAGCTGGAAATAAAGTCAGCACTGCCTAACAAGTTGGTACCCCAGCACACATTTTCCACAGAAAGCCACTAAAAAGGTTATCCCCTAAAGTGATAGAGATTACCATTCTATCAGAGGTACAAATCCCATCACAGGATCGAAAGAAACATAAAAAACATAACTCTGTATGTAATAACAGATTCCAAAGATTTTAAGAAAGCTCAGTGAGATCCAAGAGAATACAGATAAACAGGCATGTTATTTAGCTTTTCATTGATGTGACCAAAGTACCTGATGAGCACAATTTAGAGGAATGGAAACTTATTTTGGTTCATGGTTTCAGAGGAATCAGACATGGTTGGCTGATTCAATTGCTCTGGGCTTGGGGTGAGGCAAAACACCAGACAGAAGGGTACAGCAGAGTAAAGCTGCTCAGCTCATGTCAGCCAGGAAGGAAAGAGAGAGAGAGAGAGAGAGAGAGAGAGAGAGAGAGAGAGAGAGAGAGAGAGAGAGAGAAGAGAGAGAGAGAGAGAGAAGACAGGGTTGGGGACAGAGACATAGTCCAAAGGCATCTTCTCAGTGACCTACTTCCTCTAGGTACCCACCCCCCACCTATTTATAATTACCAACCCGTAGTCCATTCAGCTATCAATGGATTAACCCAGCAAATAGATTAATCCACTAGTGAGATCAGAGCCCTAATCATTGCTCCCTTGGCATTTCACTTTCAACACATGAGTTTTGGGGGGACACTTCATATCTGAAACATAACAACAGGTAAGTGGAATTAGGAGTACAATGCAGGATATGAATAAGAAGTTCAATAAACAGATAGAGGCCATTAAAAAGAACTAATCAGAAATGAAGAGGTCAATTACTCGAATAAAAAAAAATCCAGTTAAAAGCCTCAATAGCAGAGGGAAAAAAAAGTGGAGGAAACAATATCAAAACTTGAAGACACATCTTTTGGAATATCCACATTTACACAGAAAGAAAGAAAAAATTAAAAGAATGAAGGGAGTATAGATGTTTGGAATATAATTTAAAAAATCAAATATCTGCATCATTAGCATGCCCAAGAAATAAAGAATAAAGGCAAAGAAAATGTATTTGATAAAATAATAGCAGAAAACTTCTTCAATCTTGGGAAAGACATGGATATCTAGTTACAGGAAGCCTATAAAACTCTAAATAGATATGACCACAAAAGATCCTCAACACAGCATACTATAGTCAAATTGTGAAAAGTACAGGAAAAAGAATTTTGAAGTCTCCAAGAGAAAAGCACCAAGTCACATTTAAGGACAACCTCATTAAACATGAAATGATTTCTCAGCAGATATCACACTGGCCAGCAGGGCATGGAATGACATAGTTCATGTTCTGAAAGAAAATAACTGCCATCCCAGATGACTATACCTAGCAAGACTATCCTTCAGAATTGAAGAAGAAATAAAGACTTACAAGATAAGGAAAAACTAAGGACCTTCACACAAACCTTACAAAAGATGCTTAAGGTAGTCCTATACCCAGAAGTGGAAGAAAGATAATTACATCAGAGTGGTATGTGAAATTATATAACTCATCAGAAGAGTAGATACACAAGTGAGAAATAACATCCCAGGGATGCCAGTTTGGTTCAACATACAAAAATCAATAAACATAATTCACCACATCAATAGACTCAAAGACAAGAACCGCATGATTATCTCAATAGATGCAGAAACAGCATTTGACAAAATGCATTTCCATTCATGTTTAAAACATCAGAAAAACTAGGGATAGAAGGAACATACCTCAACATTGTAAAAGCTATATACAATAAACCTAAGGCCAACATCATTCCATATGGAGAAAAACTGAAAGCATCCCATCTAAAAACTGGAATAAGACAAGGATACCCTCTTTCAATACTTCAATTCAACATAGTCCTTAAACACTAGCCAGAACAATGAGGCAAAAGAAAGAAATTAAAGAGAGATGAACAGGAAGAGCTCAAACTATCACTGTTTGCAGACAACTTGATTCTATATTTAGAGGACCCAAAAAACTCCTCCAAAAAGTTTTTTGAGCTCATAAATGAATTCAGCAAAGTAGCAGGATATAAAATTAACACTCAAAAATCAAATGCATTCCTCTACACCAATGATGAATCACCTAAAAGCGAAATTAAGAAATCATTCCCATTTAGAATAGCCTCAAAAAAAAAAAAGATTCTTGGGAATCAAGCTAACAAAAGAGATGAAAGACCTCTACAATAGAAACTATAGAACACTTAAGAAATAACTTGAAGAAGACCTAAGAAGATGGAAAGATTCCCCATTATTTTGGATAGGCAGAATTAAAATTGTCAAAATGGCCATGCTATCAAAAGTGCAATGCATATTTAATGAAATTCTTATTAAAAATTCCAATGACATTCTTCAGAGAAATAGAAAAAGCAGTCATGAAATTCATTTGGAAAAATAAGAGACCCAGAATAATCAAAGCAATCCTTAGAAAAATGAAGCAAGAGGCATCACAATACTTGGACCTTAAATTATAACTACAGAGATACAGTAACAAAAATGGCATGGTATTGACACCAAAACAGACATGAAGACCAATGGAACAGAATAGAAGACACAGAGATAAACCCACACAAATACAGTTATCTAGACAAAGGCACCATAAACATACATTGGATAAAAAATAGCCATTTCAATAAATGGTACTGGGAAAACTGGAAATCCATATGTAGCAGGATGAAATTGAACCCTTATTTCTCACCCTGCACAAAACTCAAAGTGGATCAAGGACCTAGGCAGAGACCCTGAGATTACTAGAAGAATATGTAGTAGACTTAAGAATCACATGATCATCTTAATAGATACATAAAAAGCATTTGACAAAATACAGCACCCCTTTATGTTTAAAACACTAGAAAAATTAGGGATAACAGGAGCATATCTCAACATCATAATGGATATCTATGCTAAGCCCCAGGCCAATATCATTCTACATGGAGAAAAATTGAAAGCATTCCCTTTAAAAACTGGAACGAGATAGAGATGCTCTCTTTCACCACTCCTATTTAACATAGTTATTGAAACACTGGCCAGAGCAATTAGATGAAAGAAAGTAAATGGATACTAATAGGAAAAACAAAAAAGAACTCAAATTGGCACTATTTGCTGATGATATGATTCTATACCTAGAAGATCCTAAAAGTTCTACCAGAAAACTTCTAGAACTAGTAAATAAATTCAGCAAAGTAGCAGGATATAAAATAAACACCAATAAATCAAAGGCATTTCTGTATATCAGTGACGAATCCTCAGAAATAGAAACAAGAAAAACTACCTCATTTACAACAGTAAATAAATAAATAAATAAATAAATAAATAAAATAAAATACTTGGGAATCAACTTAATGAAAGAGGTGAAAAATCTATATAATGAAAATTACAGAACCCTAAAGAAAGAAGTCAAAGAAGACCTTAGAAGCTGGAAAGAGCTACCTTGATCTTGGATAGGCAGAATTAATATTATCAAAATGACCATACTTCAAAAAGCACTAAACAGATTTAATGCAATTCTGATCAAAATCCCAATGACATTCCTCATAGAAATAGAAAAGGCAGTCATGAAATTCATCTAGAAAAATAAGAGACCCAGAATAGCTAAAGCAATTCTTAGCAGGAAGAGTGAAGCAGGTGGCATCACTATACTGGACCTTAAACTATATTACAGAGCAATAGTAACAAAAACAGCATGGTATTGACACCAAAACAGACTGGTAGACCAATAGTACAGAATAGAGGACATAGAGACAAACCCACAAAATTACAATTATATATATTAGACAAAGGTGCCAAAAACATGCATTGGAGAAAAGATAGCCTCTTCAACAAATGGTGCTGGGAAAACTGGAAATCCATCTGCAACAAATGAAATTAAATCCCTATCTCTCATCATGCACAAAACCCAATTCAAAATGGATCAAGGACTTAGGAATAAAACCAGAGACCCTGAGTCTAATAGAAGAAAAAATAGGCCCTAATCTCCATCATGTGGGATTAGGCCCCAAGTTTCTTAATAAGACTCCTTTGGCACAAGAATTAAAATCAAGAATCAATAAATGGGTTGGACTCAAACTAAAAAGTTTCTTCTCAGCAAAAGAAACAATCTGTGAGGTGAAAATAGAGCCTATATCTTGGGCCAAATCTTTACCCCTCACACATCACATAGAGCACTAATCTTTAGGGTATATAAAGAACTCAAAAAGCTAAACACCAAATAAATAAATAAATAACCCAATCAATAAATGGGTCAAGGACCTGAACAGACACTTCTCAGAAGATGATATATAATCAATCCACAAATATATGAAAACATGTTCATCACTAGCAATTAGAGAAATGCAAATCAAAATCACTCTAAGATTTCATTTCACTCTAGTCAGAATGTTAGCAATTATGAAGATAAACAACAATAAGTGTTGGCGAGGATGTGGGGAAAAAGGTACACTCATATACTGCTGGTGGAACTGCAAATTGGTGCAGCCAATATGGAAATCAGTATGGAGATTTCTTGGAAAATTGGTAATGGGATCCCCATTTGATCCACCTATCTCTCTCCTCGGTCTATACCCAGAGGACTTAAAAATAGCATACTACAGGGACACAGCCACATCAATGTTTATAGAAGCACAATGCACAACAGCTAAACTGTGGAACTAACCTAGATACCCATCAATAGATGGATGGATAAAGAAAATGTAGTATGTATACACAATGGAATATTACTCAACAATAAAAGAGAATAAAATCATAGCATTTGCAGGTAAATGGATGGAGTTAGAGAAGACAATGCTAAGTGAAGTTAGCCAATCCCAAATAACCAAATGCTGAATATTTTCTCTGATATAAGGAGGCTGATTCATAGTGGGGTAGGGAGAGGGAGCATGGGAAGAATAGACGAACTCTAGATAGGTCAGAGGGTTTAGAGGGGAAGGGAGGAAGCATGAGATTAGAAATTATGTGGAATGTGAAGGACATTATTATCCAAAGTACATGTATGAAAACATGAATTGGTGTGAATATACTTTGTATACAACCAGAGATATGAAAAATTGTGCTCTATATGGGTAATAAGAATTGTAATGCATATATTTTATATATAAAAGCTTAAGACCAGACAAACAAACAAACAAATAAAGCAGTCAATAAATGGGCAAAAGAACTGAACAGGCACTTCACAGAAGAAGAAATACAAATAGTCAACAAATATATGAAAAAAATGTTCAACATCTCTAGCAATTAGAGAAATGCAAATTAAAACTATACTGAGATTCCATATCAGAATGGTTACTAACAAGAATACAAATAATAATAAATGCTGGCAAGGATGTGGGAGAAAGGTACATTGCTAGTGGGAATGCAAACTGGTGCAACCACTCTGTAAAGCAGTATGGAGATTCTTCAGAAAACTTTGAATGGAACCAACATTTGACCCAATTATCCCACTACTCAGTATATACACAAAGGATTTAAAAATCATCATACTATAGTGAAGCAACCACATCAATGTTTATAGCATCTCAATTCACAATAGCCAACATATGGAACCTAGATGCTCTTCAACAGATGAATGGATTAAGAAAATGTGGTATATATACACAATGAAATATTTTTTAAAAAAGAATGCAATTATGGCATTTGCTGGTAAATGGATGGATCTGGAGAGTATCATGCTAAGTAAAATAAGCCAATCCCTCAAATTCAAAGGCCAAATGTTCTCCCTCATATGTGGATGCCAACACACAATAACGGGCAGGAGGAACAGAAGTTCATTGGACTAGACAAAGCACTTTTGGTCATTGGAAGACCTGGGTAGAGCATTAGAGATCTGAGTCATCCATATCTGATGGGCGTTTTCTCAGCTAAGGCTGAGCCAGGGGAAGCTGTGCTTTCAGTTTCAGCTTGAATAACTATAAGTAAATGTCCTTTTCACAGTTTATTTAGTACATCTTGTTTACCTTTTCCTGTGTTTTGTTTTGTTTTTTATTTCATTGTTTAAAGTGACTCCCCAGTGCACGCTGCAGTGCAGTCTGATGTTAGTTAAGTGCATGTAGGCTGTGTGATGCAGCAAGGATACCGCGAGCTTTCTTCAGGAATGAGTTATGTGCTGTTGCCCATGAGCTTATGTTACTGATCCAGAAATATGTGTAAAATAAGATGGCTTTGAACAGAAACAAAACACGATTATTTGTCAATCAATTAACAAAATTGAAACTGCAAAATCTCAACCCATATTTCCCCTGGGTTTATGAATTTTTGAATCCAATGTTGGCAGAAACTTATAGAGCATTATTATCCCAAATAACAAGAATTGGCTGTACATGTATATATATATATCATTAGGAAATACTAACCACAGGCATTGTATCATAAAGAATTTTTGGATGTGATTCAGCAAGTTTCTTGATCTTTCTATTCCAGGAAGCTCCATCCAGAAATAATCCATGAATGAAAACACCTAAACATAAAAGAAATGTTATATAACACTTTATCGATTTTTTTATATTGATTGAGCTCTCAATCTAAAATTCCTACAAGTGAATATTATGCAGGTGAAGCTAGGTTAACAGTCCTTCCTTCCCCTCCCACCCCTTTGCCCTATCTAGTGTTCATCTAATCCTCCATCCATCAGCATCTTTTACAGTGTGTTATATAATAAGCTGTATAGAAAATGAATTTTTAAAAGTTTATATAATTAAGGAAGCAATAAGTTTTTTTAAAAAAAAACTGGCAGAAGAAGAAGGTTTTTAAACTTTCTTTAATTATTTAGCAATATGCCCATTCTGAATATATTAAAAATAAAGGGATTCTGTACAAATGGTAAGCTAGATCTGTGGCTGGGAAGAAAATGATTAGTTACAAGATAATGTGTTTCTTAAGGACCTCTTTCCCCCATGTCTATTTTTCTTAAATGTGTACCTATAATAAAACTGTTTAGATTAAGTATTAAAAATGAAATAAAAGGTGGTTTAAAGGTTGGGTTAGATTCCATGCATTTGTAGAAATTAAGCAGCATGAATTTGGAATTTCTACAATAGCATTTGAGGGCTTATAATGTGTCAGACACTGATAGGCACTGAATAAAGAAGGTTGAAGGCAAATAAGGTTATGGTTCTCAGTATTGGTGCTGTCATAGGAATGGAGACCAGAATGAAGGAAACAGGTAATATGATTGCAGAGTGTGACTAATGCTGTGAAGTTAATAAGCAGAGTTAATAAGCAGAGTTAAAAAGGATAACAAGGGGAGTGGAGGCCTTAATAGATTGAATTTTCACGAAGGTTATTTTCTGATGACCTGTAATTTTTAAAGGAGAGAACCCAAAGTTGAGAAGTGGTCACCATGATGAGTCTGGGCTTAGGAATAGGGCATTCAAAGATCCCAAAGAGAACAAATTTTGAGGTAGTCTGTTGACTGTGAAGGTCAGTGTGAATTAAGTAATGGCACATGATGAGCTTGTACCTGTGAAGTCATGTAGGTGGAGAGCAGCCAGAATGTGCCTGGTCTTATAGCTGTGGTAAGAAATCTGGGAAAATATCATTATGGACTTATTTAGTTGTCTGATTTTTCCATGTAAGCTAAAGCTGACATGATCTGCATGTTTACATCTTTCAAAAACTTCCAGGGCTTCTGTGTAAGTTAAGGATTATAAAGAGGTAATGACAGTAGCAGGGAGATAATAAGCTTACGTAGGGGGTCTAGATAAAAAATGGTGGTGGCAGTATGACTGTAGGTGAGCAACTGCATCTGATGTGAGAGCTATAAGGGAGCAGAAGAATAAAGTTTTTACTCTATGGCAATGGCATTTATTAAAAATAATTGTAAGTTTTTACATATCCAGGAGGCACTAAAGTGGACACGTTAGTATAGCAGTTGGATATAGCTGTCTGGATCACAGAGAAAAGATGTAGATTGCAGACTGGGGACATTAACAAGGAGATGGTTAAAGATTCAGAACAGAATAAAGTCACTTGGGGGGAGAGGATGCAACTTGGAAAAAGAAATAATCCCAGGACTGAATGCTCAGAAACTCCAGTATTTAGAGGAGCACAAGCCACCAAAGAAGTATGAATGTGGCCAATAAGAAAAATCAGTATAAGGTGATATACTAGAAGCAAAGGAAGAAGAATGTCTCTATAAAGACAAAGTTGGCAACTGGTGAAAACTGCTGAGGCTAAGATGAAGACAAAAGGGAATTTGCTATGTTTGTCAACATGGAAGTCATCAGTAGCTGTGAAAAGTACAGCACTGGTTGATCAGAGAGGATGAAAAGCACACAGGAATTAGGAGGTGAGAACCTGGAGACAACTTGCCAATATAATTACTTTGAGAGATTCTGCAATAAAAGGGAGAAGAGTTATAGAATAGTCCGTGGGGGTGTGTGGATGTAATGACAATTGGAATTGTTTTTTGATTTAAGATGAGCAAGATTTTAGAGCATGCTGTGTGTTGTTTCAGATTTTCCAGCCCTGAGTGGGATGATATTGATTCTGGAAAGAAAAGGCACAATTAAAGAAGCAAAGACCTGGAGAAGTACAAGGAAATGGGGTCTGGATTCTCAGAGGGTGCAGATTTTGACAGAGTAAGAATTTGGTGGTGCTGAATGCTCTCTCCTGAAAGCTTTTGATATTTGCAATGAAGGATGAGGTGAGATGGGGTAGAGGTAAGGAAAAAGGAGAATATGAGAGTGGGAAGGCAAATTTCCCAGGGGAATAGTAGTAGGATGGCTTTGTGTTGCAAACCCTTTGGTGTGACAATCAACATAAAGTAAAAACATTTGGCACAGTAACATAATTATCAAACTCTGTTGTGACTGCATATAAACTTGCCAGTATCTCCCACTAAAGTTTAAACTGGTTGAGGGACTAGGTCCTAATATTTCCCTGTTGATATGTCCGGTGCCTAAGGAAGTGAGCCAGTGAATTCATAACTCAATGATGAATAAGGAAGAGTTGACTGTGAAACATTAGTTGAGGCAGTATATAAGAGTCATTTAGAAATAGATGTCCTTCATTTAAAGACAGCACCAATTGGGTAAAATTTAGAAATCCATAGCATTCTTAGAAACACTTGTTTAAAATAGTTTAAAACTCTATCCACTGAATTTGAAATAAAACATCAGAATAACCACAGAGTCGAAAAGCAATTGATAAGGAAAATAAAGATTTCCTCACAACCAATCTGTAAATCATAAAACAAATGCTCATATTAGTTATAAGTTTGGGAATGCTGTATATAACAGGAAAGATTACATACTTTAGAACTCTGCAAAAGTACACTCTTTGAGGGATCAGGAAAAACCTCCTCCTTTTCAATGCCGCATCATCTTGATTCCCCAAGGCCAAAATAAGGTTATGGCTGTTTATCACATGTATTGTTAATTTAATGATTTTTTAAAAGTAATTTCTAACTTACACAATTTTGAAAAAAAATACAGGGACATATACTCTTTTTTTTTTCAGATTCATCTATTGCTAGCATTTGTGCCCCATTTACTTTATCATATATCCTCTCTCTCCATAAATTTTTTCTCAACCATTTTGAGGTGAAGTTACCTACATGTTGTTTACTTTTTTAATAGCTGAGGAAGGTAAGCAAGAAGTTACACCTCTGATCAGTGCCAAGATAAAAGCAAACTCATTCTCTTACCCCACTTACCATCTTCAGGACCATGTTTATAGTCTTTGTCTTCCATCACCTCATAGTCAAACCCAAGGAGATCAATGGGAATAGTGTATTTCCTGGCGTAGTTCTGCTGGGCACCAGTCAGGAAGGCTTGGGTGAAGAAGAAGCCAGAAAGCCAGAAGACTGCAGGAGGGCCAACCTCATACCATTGCTGTGGTGGATCAAAACACAGAGTCCTAATGATAGTCTTCAATTTTTTTTTTTTTAAATACCTTTGCTTACAAAATGTGTCCCCAAATATTTTTGTTTTCTTTATCTAAACTAGTAAATGAACTCAGGGATGACAAGCCAAAAATAAGTAGCATTCAGTGTTGATGCTGACTTTCAACTTCATCTCTCTCACAACAGCTTGGGAATTACAATGTGTGAGAATGCATACGTAAATGTTCCTTCAGAAAATCCCCATACCACACTGAACATCTGATATGCACTGTTGCCCAAAATATGTGACTTAGTTGAACAGGAGAAATTCCCATAGTCTGGTCATGAGGTTTATTCTTTAAAAAATTTTACTCTAATAAATGAGAGTAAAATTAGTCATTAGTACCTAGTAGACTATTCTGGGGAAGTTTTCTCTCTTATTTCACCAAAATATAATGAAATCTGACATATAGAAACACATGATATTGCACAAAGAACTCCTGAAAAAAGCAGGGTAGTAAGAGCTTATGGTCTTCAGGGTCTTTAGAAATATCCAGACTCCTTAATTATTAATATCACAGATTCTAATTCTGATCTGGCTGAATAATGACTTTAAATAATAAATTATAGAGGCCAAGCTGAAACAAATCAACTTGAAAAGCTTTCCCTATAAGAGCCCAAAGCAGAGCCTCATCTTTCCAGAACAATCTTAATTCCTTAGCATCCAACTCATAGAAAAGAGGGCCTGTGTTATGAAAAAGGGAAATAAATCCACTTATCCCTAAAGCAATTTCCTCACAGTTTTTGATGCCTCATATACAATACCTAGGAAATTAACTGATATTTCAAGGATATAACTATTAATAAGGGCTGGGGTTGTAGCTTAGTGGTAAAGTGCTCGTCTAGCATATGTGGGACACAGGGTTCAATCCTCAGAACCACATTAAAAAATAAATAAACAAAATAAAGGTATTGTGTCCATCTACAACTAAACAACAACAACAACAACAACAAAAAAAAACTATTAAGAGCACCGGTAAACACAGATATTGCCAGTAATTTGGAGATAGGCTTCTTCCTATTCAACATTTCCAAGACAATCAGCCATAGAGGTCATTGCTGTCCTGTGCTAAACCAGCTAAGTAGTGATTCATGACCAAAAAGGTTGCCAGGAAAGGAAAAAATCAAACTCCTCACTAATAACTTGTCTAGTTTTATAAGATGCTCTGATACAAATATGTGTGTGTGTATATACACACGCATACACACATATACATATATATATATGTGTATATGTGTGTGTGTGTGTGTGTGTGTGTGTGTGTGTACTTTTAATTTTATGTGGTGCTAGGGATGGAACCCAGTGCCTCATGAATGCTAGTCAAGTGCTTTACCACTGAGCTACAACCCCAGCCCCTTTATAAGCATCTATTTTCATGCTAAATATTTAAAGGGAAAGTCAACATGCCAGATTTTTTTCTCTTTTCAAATGCCATTAACTTCATTGAACATGAATACATACTCTAAAGTCAGAACTTCCACTTCTAGTACTAGTATTGTGACTATTCAGTGTGACAAGTATATACATCATATAAAACATTATTAAATAGTGGCCATTTGTGTCTGGCACTCACAGCAAACTAGAGAATAACACTCATGTGTTGGGCATTGTGATGAAGAAAATTAAGCCAGAAGAAAAATAACAATGTATGTTAATTTGGATAAACTTACCTGCAAGAATTTTAGTCTTGCAAGGAAATCATTCACATAGCTGCCAAGTGGTTTAAGGCTTGGGTAGGATTTACCCATCCACATTCCTGGAATTTTGACATTCAAAATGCTTCTAACCACTTCTTCAAGATCTGTAGACATCACTACAAGCCCCTGAAATACATTTAACCTTGCTAACATGAGAGTATAGATTATGAATAGCCAGTCCTCTTTTAAATACCTTCTTTACAATTATGCTAACAGAAAGTGAAGATATTTGTTTTTGCTTATACAAGGACATCCTAGAGTCTTTGAACTAGTCCTTAAAAAATATTAAGTTTTATTCTAACAAAATTTTACTGGAAAATCACAGTCTAACTTTGACTTATTTCTTTAATAAATGAACAAGTAATATTATTTCATTCTGTCTTCTTAGAGGGACAGTGGTAAATATTAAATTAGGAAAATTATATGAAATGGTTTGAAAAGTTAAAATATTTGGAATACCATTGTGAAGTCTAGCTGACCTTGTTCTATTTTGAATCACTGATGCCCACATATTGAAACTTTGAGTTTCTTGAAAATTTCTGCCTATTTTGATCTTATAATTGGTCCAGTTATGATTATCATTTCTGTTTTTCCTATATAAAAATATTATTTCAACTAACATATGGAGAAGATTTTACAGTAACTGTGATAGACTAAACACACATATTTCATTTGCTGCCTTCTCAAAATTCCACTGAAACAATATTAAATATATTTTTTTTTAAAAGGCATGAGCCTACAAGTGCAGAAAGGAACAGGGAATTGATAATGGAAACACAATTTTGGGAGTGAGAAAGCACGTGGACTGCTGATAGTTGATTCAGGAGTTACAAGAAACCTTATCCTGAAAGGAAAGCTAAGAATCAGCTAGATATACATTGAGGAATGCTCCCAAGCCTTGGGAATTAATAATCCTACATGATTCTGAAAACGAGGAAAGGAGGATGCTGTTAAATGTGAAGGATTTTGAAACCTGGTTTATAAAACAAATTCCTAGGTCTTCTTCCCCCCTAACTGCACATCACTAACCTTAAATGTAACCTGGAAAGGAAAATGCAGAAATTCCTGGAGTGGGGGATGCCAGGTCTAGTTGAGGTCAGAGTTATCATACAGAAATCGAGGGTGTTAAGAGAAGGCATGGGTAGACAACGCTGAGATTCCTATGGCCTTTATTCCTTTTAGCTCCCAAAATTCTATGAGCCAATCTTTATCTTCCAGGAAAGAAAAAGGAGGTCGAGGAGAAACACATAATGATGCTGAATGTTTCTTTGCTGAAGAACTCACCCAGACTGCTCTACAGTGCAGACCACAGTCAGCAATCCTCAGTGTACTTACAGTGTCCCCTCAACATGATAATGCCCCATTCTTATTTAAAAGTGGACAACCCAAATTTATTAGACATTGGAAGAAGGTTTCCAACATGAAGGAGGAGTTTTTCAATTAAGCATTCCCTTTTTATATACAGAGACAACTACAGATTTTCTGTTTCTTGTATAATTTGGGTAACATATGCTTTCTCAAGAATTTATACATTCATTTGCACTCTTTAATTTTCAGACATCAAGTTTTCATGGTACTATCTTCAGACCTCTTAGACTATAGTGTCTATTATAATGAGCTTTCTTCTATGAAGTGTTCCTTATCTAAAATTCTTGGGACCAGAAGTATTTTGGATGCTTTTAGATCTTGGATTATTTGAAAATATATCATATATATATATAATATTATAAAATACAAGAGAAACTATATCGTATAAGATATTTAGGGAATAGGACCCAAATCTAAATACAAAATACATTCATGCTTCATATACATTGGTTGCAGAGATCATCTCAAGTTTGGTTTTTCAAATTTGAACATTTTCTTTCCCAAAGTAGGGAAATATAAAGAAAATTATAAGTAGTTCATATAGTTTGGGTGGATGGATGAGAGAAATTGATGCCTCAAAGTAACCTAGACTTATTTGCACTATCAAAATATTTGAGGTAACTTATAAATTTGTTTCTAAATAAAAATCAATGTATCATAGACTCTGAAATATATCTCCAGGCTTTACTTCCCTCTTCAACTCTAAAGCATGTATCTAATAGTAATTCTACCTCTCCATTAAGTCTATGAGGCATTTCAAAATTAATCGGAGTGAAAAACATTCTTGACTTTCTCCCTCAAACCTGTTCCTTCTCCAAGCCTCTACTTCCTAGGCCAAAGGAGGAGTGATCCTCGACTCCTCTCTGCTCACTCCTCCCACCGCAGTTTTCAGTCACCCCAGTAGACTCCTAAGTCGATAATGACATAAGCGACCACATCTCTCTCCCTCTAAGGCTACTACAAGAGGCCAGCTCAGATGGACTACTTCAACTGTGTAAGGAGCATTTGTCTGTGCAAATCCTGGTCCCCTACATGACTTTCTCCAGGGGCCAGATTAACTTTTGAAAATGTAAAATAGGTCAATTAACTTCACTGCTTGAAAACCTTTGAAGCCTTCCTTTTATCTTCGTATTTTAAAATAAAATTCAAGATCCTAAGCACGGCCGACAATGCCATCGTGATCTGGTCCTGCCATCTCCCTCGTGCTCACTTGCTCTAGCCACACCCGTCTTCTTTCTGATGCTCCTGGACCATGACACGGTTGTTCTTCTCTTGACTTTTACACTCTCTCTAAAATGCTTTTCCCTCAATAGTCCTCTGGCTTTCCCTTTAAGGTCATTTTGGCCTCTGTCCAAGGATCAGCTCCTCAGAAGGGTCTGATTCAGTCTGACAGAGCTTCTCAGCCATTATTCTCTATTTCCTTACCTTGTTTTATTTATTTTTTCCATGGAATGTATCATTTACCAATATTATAAATGTGTTTACTTATTTTTGGTTTGTTTCTCTCTTTAGAATGGAAGTTTGCAAGGTCAGAGGCTTTTTTAATTCTTTAACATTTTGTGTCTCTTTAGCGTGTATCTTATCCAGTGTGCTACTGCTATGAAGCACACTCTATACTTATCTACCTGTATAACTGTTGCTACCAGAATTCTGTTAAGTTCCTAAAAAATCACGATTTTTTTTTTAATCCTCAGAACCAAGAACAGTGCGTGCACAGTACTTAGGTCTCGTAAATAGTTGCTATTAGATTAAAACTATGTTCAACTCAATGATTTTATGTGTTTCATCTTACCTTGATTGCTTTTTGAATATTAATGCATGATTCTCTTATGGTCTTCAGCAACTTATTGAACCGCCCCATCTCTTGGACAAGTACAGTGTTCATGCTTTGAGTGTAAGTTGTTGGGTACCTCCTCATGGCAGATTCAACATCAAAGTTGTTTGGAAGTTTACCTAGTATGTCACCAGCCACCTCGTTTACTACTTCATCTGATGATTTTGCACCAGCACCTGCTGAACGAGACTATGAAGAATCCAAACTATAACTCAAAAATCCTCATACAATTCTAAGAATACCTGCAAAAGGAAAAATCTAAGGTAAATCTTCATAAGCATGAACACTGTTCTGCAATTTTATCCATGAGGCTTCACACGAGATTTATTAAAGTGATGATAACACACATGGTGAGGGATTTCTTAGAGAAAATGATTGTAAGAGAGGAAAAAGAGAGGCATGTGATGTGTTCAGAGGCAAAACAAAATCTGGAGAAAGCAAATAAGTTATAGGTTTAGCTGCCTGGGTGAAGGAGAAGGATCCGATGCTGCAGATGGAGGGAGAAAAGCATTTAAGCTGGTGCAGTAGCCAAGTGATAGTGAGAAGGAGAGAATCTGATCTGCTTTGAAAAAGCTTGCTGCAAAATATATTTGCTAATAACTCTGGGGCCTACTGGTCACCAAAAGTAGAAATATAGTTTTCTCCTTGAACCTGCAGGGCAAAGAAAATAAGCTCATCTTCTCTAAGCAGTTGGAAGAGTTATAGAGAAAAGACAGACTTTAGTGATTCACGTTGGAAGCAAGGAAAGAAAATTTCAACTCAATTTTTGTTTTTTATGTTTACAGTGACACTGGGTAAATGAATCTATATTTTCTGGAAAACCTCTTTAAATTCTCAGAATAAATGAATGTATGTATATGTGTGTGTGCCTATGTGTGCACTGAAGGAGAATAGCATATTAGAAAATTCCTATTTTTCCAGTCCAAGGAAATTGTGTTTAGTCTTCTTTTTTTTCTTCAGATTTTACATTTCCTTGTTTCTATACTCTAAATATTATGTTTACTTAGGTTTCTACCTACCCATCACTTGCCACTACAAGATCCTATTAAGTTATACAATAAGCAATTATTAATAAGTTTAATTATGCTAGTAAAAAGAGACATTTATGTGTATTAATACTTTATTATAATCACAAGATACTTGTTTTACAACTAAATATGTAAAAAAAAACCCCATAAAGAACAAAAAAGATGATGAACGTTTGACCAAAACTAGTGCAATGTCTATTTCCACTTCATTGAAAGAATCAGATGCTGATTTCTATTTGCATTTTGACTTACACTTAGGTCCTATAAAAGCATTTAAAAATTTCTATTTTCTAATAGTAGCTGTGCCTCCATAAAAAAAAAATCACATAACACCCAGGCCTATCACCTATCAAAAAATGTAATAAAAATATTTCAGTAACAGACAGTCCCCATATATATTTATCACATACCAAAACCACATAACTGGGGTGGGTGGTAGGTTTTTGAAGGTAATATCCAATTGATAATAAGAATAAAGAGCAATTGTGTGCTATTTATCTATAATTGTTTATCTTAGCTTTTTCTTTTTTACTACCTGTCCTTAGAATTTTTACAATTACCATTGGAATATTATAAGGATTACTTTTCCTTTATTAAATAAAATAAGTGAAATTTACTTTTAAGGACACATCACAGAGTGTAGCCTTTTTAGAGATTCTGCACCATATTAGTTTTCTAATATTCTAAGGTCAAATAATTTTCCTATTCAAAATGGAAGACGGCAGTCAAGCATAAGAAAAAGATCTCTGCAAAAATTCACATTCTCCACTCTGATACTTCCCTCTTTCATTTTTTCTGTTTTATGTAAATACAACAATACAAAAAGTCTTATCAACATTAACTTGCTCTCCAAGCGATGATGTTCTAGTCTCTCTGCCTCTGAATTGTGATTCACTGAACTACTGCTTACCCATTAGTATAATTGTACTTCCAATCCAAGTTTGAGTATATTAAAAGAGGTTGTTGAATCACATACTGAGAAGATACCCCTGTGAATTTAAACTTATTTGTTTGGTTCTGAGTCATTTTCTGTTGGAATGAGCCTACTGTTTTATGTGTTCTATAATGTGACACACCCCATCAAGTTTAAATAAAGCCAAAAGACACTGTAAGTAAATGTCCTGTTGTCAGACTATTATGCACTACATGCCATCTAATGTTCCTAAAGATTTACTTATTCCTGTTTGTTCACATACTTTTATGGCCACCCAGGCAACAATGACTTTAGTGCCATCAATGAGTAAAATGGACATAAAAAAAAAATCTTTGTTCTTTTTGCCTGGTTAGAAAAATGTCACTATAGATTAGATTAGACATAGGAGTTCTTTGGGCTTTTCTGTCAATAAGTACCCTCCTAATTCTAAGATTTTTCAGTATCTTTGGCTATCTGCCTTCGAGTCACACACCATTTCTAGAATCTAGAAGGGACCCGATAGGCTAGCAGTTCAGAGCACAGGTTCTAGAGTTGAACTAGTGTGAACCAGGCCATTGGGTTTGTGTCCTGCCTCAAAACTGTACCAACTGACATTGGGAAAATTACTTAATTTTTGTGTGCCTCAGTTTTCTAGTTGTAAAATGGGAAGAATAATAGCTCCTGCTTCATAGTATTGTCATAAGTATTACATTACTCTACAGAAAGCCCTTACAACAGTGCTAGCACACAGTAAGTACTACATAAATATTAACTGTTATCATGTTTACTTTGAGATTCCATAAAAATTAAAAAAAAATAAGTTAGAATTCAGTTAGTAGGATAATTTGCTTAACTGAATATTTATCCTTAATTATTAAAATTTCATTTAATCAGTATGAGAATTCTTGTTATTTGGATTAATTTAATTTGCTTCCAAAAATTAAAAAAACAGTGAGCACATTTAAAGGGAGAATAATACAAGAGAAGATCTCTTAATGGATGAGAAAGATTAGCAAATGATTTCATTCAAACATACTGACTGATGCTCACGACATGCTAAATGCTGGTGCCTTTGAAGACTATTCTCCCAGCTGTGATGCAGTTATGCTCTCACCAGTAGGGCTGAATGTCTGCCAAGGATCATCTGCATATTTCTTCTAACCCTTTTATTTTGTACTTACCAAACAATTATATGCTTTAAATGTTATGCAATCTGATAAAATATTACCATGAGAGGATCTGTTTCTATAGGTAAAATGTTTATGAATATATGTATGTATGTTTGTAGTGCTGGAGATCTATCACAGAACCTTACACCTGCTAGGAAGGTGTTCTAACACTGAGCCACATCCACAGCCCTTCTGCAATATTTCATAAAGGTAAGTCACTAAAACCAGTTGTTTTGAATTAGTAAGAGACTAGAAAATAAAGCAGGCAATATTCTAGGTAGCTTCTGTCTTCAAACTGCTGCCCAAGTAACTTTGATATTCTTTTTTCCACCTTAAAGAAGATTTAAAAAAAAAACATACATTGTAGTTGGATAAGACTTATGTAAGAAAGAACTGAAATTCCTAGAAGCAGAATGATATTCACACAATAGGTCTTGATTCTAAAAGAGAAGATGAAAAAAATTGCATGTGATGTACTCTATGTTTAAATCTGTATTTAAGGTATGTATGTGTTTTTTTTCCTTATCCTTTAAATATCTTTGACTACTATACATAAGGCTCAGAGAGCATCCCTCACAGGCTCAGATGTCAACTCGTGCACACAACACACACCTGTGTAAGAAGAATGTTATCAAAAAGCAGTTGAGTTTCTGACTGATCTTTAGTGATATCTGCATTGGCATTCATCCCAAAGATTTCTGGTGCTGGGGTCAGTGGCAGAGTCTTTGTGTATTCGATGTAGCTTTTGTGCTGAAAAAATAAGTAACAAGAAGTTGGGCGATTAGAAATAAATTGCATTGCAGAACTTCATATATGAGAGAGATAATTTTCCACACTCAAGTTATTGAGTTGGATGAACCTGTAAGACTGGACACTGAATGCTTTAATTTTCTTTTAGTCTGGGCCCAAGTTTAAAAAACAATATGGACATGTTTTTAGAGGAAAAGGAAATCTCCCACTCAATTGGAATGGGTTTTAAACAAGGGAAGGAGAAATCTGGTAACTCCATTTAGAAATTTCTTCCAGAGGATTTTTTGTGTCACATTCTGTTGTGACTATTCTTAACTTATCAGAATAAAAATAGTCTTTTCTAGTTTACTCTGATTATTTTGTTTAATCTTATTGTGATAAATCCACCAAAGTGAAAAAAGTAAAAATTATCTGAAAGTTTATTATCCCAATTACTGCCATTAACATTATACATCTTTTTACATATATGCACACACATTTTATTCACATGGACTTGTACCAAAATTTCATCCCTTCCTCGATATAAATATGATCATATGCAAACATAAACAGAGCAAGGGAGGTTTGGTCATTGATGGTTTTATGACATGGACTTTTTTTTACATAAACCTTACTTCATTGTGCTTTTTTCACTCTTGAGGATTCATCATTGGTTATCTTATCCCCCCGACTCCTCATGTTGACTTAGTCCATCCAATCAGTGATGTAAGCTCTGGGACTGATTTTCCCCTTCATCCATATTGATATCTGCACTTAGCTAGCATTAATCCCAGTGGATGATAGGGTTATGGCCCAAGAGTTATAGTATGTATCTCTGTTGCATGTGCCCATGTGTTTAACTTTCAAAATATACTCTTTTCACTACTGGGGATCAAATGATAAGCAAACTTATTATCCTGGAAGTCCCTTGAAATCTATGGTGTAATAATCTGAAGGCAATGGATAGGACCAGAAGAGCAGAAGGAAACCTTAGCCTAGTGCTATAGGTGGTTCTGTCACTCTCTGATGCCTCCACCTGGGTGACCTTGGACAAGTCATTCAACCTTAATGAATCTGCTTTCTCATTTATAAAAGGGTATTTATAGTACCAATGTTAATTTGATGCTCTAGTGAGATCATTATATTTATAAGTATTTGTGATATAAATGTTAGATATTATTAATAATATTCTGTAACCCCTCTTGTGTATATTTATTTTAACTGGGGACAGTGATATCTGCATTGGCATTCATCCTAAAGATGAATTTTTTTACCGGAAGAATTGAATTCATGAGAGTAAACTCTCCTTGGGTAAGGAATGTTTCTAAGACTCTTCACATTACAGCACACTACTAACTCCATTTGTGCACAGGGTGTCCTCTGTCCCCACGTGACTAAAAAAACAAGGGGAAAATCATCACCTAAAAAAAAAAAAAATTCACTGCTACCATAGGAATTTCAAGTTCTATTGCTTTTAGATTTTTTGATCTATACTTACATCGCCAGAAGGGGGGACAAAATAGATGCCACTTGAGTCAAACTTATATTCTGCATTTTCAACTAATTCTGTACAGAAAAATTTATTCAGAATGGTGCGCAGTGTGCGGCGGTCCCAGTCATCAGTCACTCTGCCTCCGTAGTTGCATTCGCCAGTCATGTACCGAAGGGCGTCATAAGGTAGTTCCTAAAATTGAGAGCTTAAGTCGTGAACCAGGTAAGAGGTATCAGAATAGTATTGTATGAAATTGTTCCTTGTTGAGTCCTATTATTAAGTTCTTGCAAATTTCCCTTTGTATACTTCCCTACTAATTGTTGCAGTTTCCCCCAGATCTTTCTCTTCTTTTGTATTATTTCATTTCCATGCAATCAATGCTGAGACTAGTACTTGCCTAATCTCTTATGAACTCATTTACTGTTCAACCAACATTTTTTGAGTACCTACTATGTGCCAGTTGTTAGAGTCTGTAAACAAGTCAAGATGGCGCCTGGCATTTTGCCAGAGGGAGTAGTTTGTAAAGTAACACCAGCGAGCCATTAAGTGTGGAGATTCCTTATTGGTTGACTGCTGTATCTAGTTTATGTTAATTAGATAAGCTGTGTGGAATGTATATATTGCTCCTGTCCTACAATAAACAGCTCCCACTCCTGCTGTATCAATGTACACAAGTTGCTCATCATCCCCCGGTTATTTTGCTGCAGCCGGACTGCAGCACCAGTCACAAATGAGTTAGACCACAGGCCATCCTTAAAAACCTTGCCTTGCTGAGTGACATGCAAAACAAAGCCGATATCATTCACAGATAATCAGTATTGATTTTCTTCAACACCTTTTTACATCCATATATATATTTGACAGTTGGAAACACACTCTATGTTCAATTTTACATTTTTCCAATCAAATCTCATGAGATTTCCTGTAGTATTTCATAAAAAATTCTTTAAAAATACTTTGAAATGACCATTTCTATTCCAAAGAAAGTTGCTTATAAAAAACAATTTGCAATATTACTAAACTGCTTTTCTGAAAGGTCTAGCAATTGTAGCAGCCAGTTTAAAAGTTTCTGCTAATTAAGTATTTTAAGTTGTATTTTTAAAAATACTAGTGAGGCTATTAATTGTTTCATATGTTTAATAGTGTTTGTTTTTCTGTGCACTGCCTCTTCTGTTGTTTCAACTAAAGTTTTAACAGTTTTTGTATAAACAATTACAAACTGATATCAAATTTGTGGTAAATGATTTTATACTTTTCTTTTTTCCTCTTTCTTTTATCCTCTAGGATACAAATTCTAAAATGTTTTTCAATTACAATGGTATTGATTTTTCACATTGTAATTTCTTTTATCCTGAGCATGAATACCTACATACCCATCAGCAGTATAGAGAATTTTATTTCTCACTGCTCCCAACAGAGTTTTATTATTAGGGGAAASATTGATAATTAAAGCATAAAATTATTTTTAATTACTAATTTTAGTTTTGACAAAAATGTTATTTAACAATGTTTATTCACCAGCTATGTTTTTATTTTAGAAACTATCTACTGCATTCTTTTACATATCTTTCTCATCTGAATGTTATTTTTTCCTGTTATTAAAAGCTCCTTATAAATTCTGAGTCAGTCTGCCGGATACATTGAAATGTTTTCTCCTATTTTTATTTGTCTTTTATTTATTTTTATTTGTATTTACCTTTTATTTGGTGTTTAGTTGTTTATGATATTTAACTAGAGTGATATTTAAAATATTTTAACTAATATATATACAACTTTTTTCTTGAGATTTTTTCATCACCTTTATGCTTTACATACCCTTCTTATAGTTAGTTATCGGTTAAAATTTAAAAGTTTATAGATCCTACATTCCAGGGATCCCACTCTGAGGACTGACTCTTCAATAGGAAGAACAGCACTAGAGAAGAGCAGGTAGTAGTGATTTGAGAGGAGAAACTTACTGAATTAGGGTTGGAAATTGTGGGAGTTGTTATCTCATAGACTGGAACCTCAGGCAGTGAATGTAGGAGAATGTGTCAGTGAGCAACAACTTGTGGACAAACAGAATCGAGCACAACTCCAGAGTATTTGATTCTACAATTGCAAGTGTGAGAGGAGTCTGACCAGATGCATACCCTGTGTGGACTTGCCTTGCTCCATCTCATAAAAATAAGAAGCCTCATATGCAAATTAAATAATTAATAATTGAGGTAGAGTAACACATGGAGTAGCTAGCTCCCAAGAGGACTTTGTGATGCAGATGCAGCTGAGATCAGGAGGGGGAGGATTGGATTTAAGTATAAAAAGGTGAAACTTGGCCTACACACTCTTGAGAGTTTATAAGGAAAATGATACCTGTTGTTTCAGCAGCTTGGTTATAAAAAGTACCAAATTGGGGAGTGTTTTTCTCCCAGAGGCGAAGTAAATAGATGGAGTCCCCAAGTAGTAGCTTGCTGCTTCAATTGCTTTCTTGTTCTGTTGTAAAAGAGTTGAGCCCATGGGCAGGAGAGAGTGTAGATGCAAACAGAGCTCCGAGTCAACAACTAGAGTTCAAGGTTATGTATGAGGTAGTTCACTTAAACATTGTTTATAAGCAACAAACAACTCAAAAGAAAATTAAAATATCATTTTTGAGGAAGATTATATATATGTTGTGTTAATATATATGTGTATTTTCATATTTATATATGCATAGGATAATGTCTGGATACATATGTCCTAAGATGTGAAGCTGATTGCCTTGGAGATGAAATTAGGATGAGAGTTGAGGGGTAAAGGATGAACTTTTCATGCACACATACTTGCAAATACACATGCCCTTACCCAAACAAGAAAAACAAAGCAATCGCCTACCTGCCAAGAAGAAAATATATATCTACTTGTATTTTCTTCTTTTATATTTTAATTTTTCCTATTTAGTTTCTTAATCAATTAGGAATTACATAGAATGAAAATTCTAACTTAGCAAATAACCAATTATTCTAACATATTTATTGAATACTTTTTTCATTTCCTATTATTATTCCAAATTTCTACATATAGTAGTTTTGCCATTTTTCTGTGAGAGCATGAAGATATTTTCACTAAGATTCACTTATTAAATAGACACTCATGGAGGCAAGTACTACACACATTGTTTTAGGCACTGAGAATTCATGAATAAACAAATCAAAGCACATAACTTAGTGGCTCATGATTTGGCAGAATATACTCTGCTTCCTAGCAAAAGTTTGCAATTCCCAATAACCCAGATGTATCATGAACTCTGTTAAGGCTGCCAGAGCCTGGACACGTATATTTCTGGGCACTATACTATGTATCTTAGACACAGGATCACAGAGATGATCAGTAAGTAGACCACGGAAGATAAAAAGATCTGGAATCGCCTCATACTCTTACAGGTACTCACACTCTTGATAATCAAGAGTCTCAACAAAGGATGATCAAAGTGGTTGTCAGTCTTAGTGGCATGCAAAAATCTGCCAACTGGAGGTAAACTTTGCTTCTTTGTCTGAATTGATTATTCAAGAAAGAGTGGCAGAAGTAGACCAGGATTGAGCACAGGAAAAGGCAAATCAAAATAGGAGAAATATGTATGCCAAAGCGCAGAGATGTGAAAGAACATATTACACAGGGAGAAGAGAAAGCAAAGTGATGTAGTGCATGGATTAGAGGAGGGGTGGCGGGGAGTGTGAGCAGCAAGATGTGGTTTGGACAGGATAAGAAATAACTGAGGGTTGATCAAGGTGGAGATTGGAGCATAGAGAAAGGCAACACTTAGTAACTGCTCATGGAAATAGGTTCCCATATGATAACCATTCCTTGTTCTGTTTCTTTTACCTGGATTTTTCACTTATCTACCTGCTGCACATCTATGAATTTCTGACACTATCCCTTGTCTGGATTAATGAATAAGGTATCGCTACTACACATATCAGAAAACTAAGATGAATCAAGATTTCTCCCTCTACCTTCACCATTTAATATCTAAGTCATTTCAGTCCTTTCCCTTATGTATCCAACTGCATCTCTACCATGTTCCCTATCCTAGCCTAAATGCTTTGTAGTTTAAACTCATAACATCTCCTGTCCAGGTTATCATGATGGTCTCCTGTATTATTTCCCCATGCTCTCATCAGGTGACTTACAACAAGAGAATTTTACTGTCTAATAGGTCTGGAGGACAGAAGTTCAAGATCAAGGATCATACTCTCTACAGTGCCTTCTGGCTTTTGATAGCTCCAGGTTCTTTTTACTTTGTGGTAGTCAAACTATAAACTGCTTTCATCTTCACAATGCTGTCCTTCATCTGTGTGTGTGTGTGTCCAAATTTTCCTCTTCTTATGATAACACCAATCATACTAAATACCGTTTATGTATGATGTTAGCTATAAGTTTTTTGTAGATGTTCCCTTAAGGAAATTCCCCTCTATTTCTAGATTACTGAGAGATATTTCATTATGAATAACTATTGGGTTTTGTTAAATGCTTTTTCAGCATCTAATGATATGGTCATGTGATTTTTCCTCTCGAATCTATTGATATGATGGTTACATTAATTATTTTTTAATGTTGAACCAGCCTTGCATATCTGCATACAAATGAGTCTTCACTGCTGACTATATTTTAAATTAGAATAGATTCTCCAGATATTCAGAACAAATTGCTAATTAGAAGAACTCTTCATTTTTTTGTTTTTGTATTATAATCATTTTAGTTCAAATATTTCCTCAGATACTGTATAACTGCAATTTTTCCTCTATTATCATCTTTTTTGGCCAATGTTACTACAAGAAAGAAATTTATCAAATTAATGATTCATTTGAACATTTTGCCCAATTTAGATGCTGTAAAATTGAAGGCTTTCTCCATTTATTGCATTTAATACAGAATAAGAATTTGTCCAATAAAACACAAAAACTCAGATAAAAGATTTTTCACATTTAGTTATGCCATTTGAGCTCTTAATATTTATTTTCTGAGTTCCTTCTTTGCTTTTGTAGAAATAGAGAAAATATCATGCTAAGTGAAGTATGCCAATCCCAAAAAAACAAAGGCCAAATGTTTTCTCTGATATGTGGATGCTGATCCTTAATGGATGTGGGGTGGGGAAGCATGGGAGAAATATAGGAACTTTAGCTAGGGCAAAGAGGAGGAAGGAGAAGGGAGTGGGCAGGGGAGTAGAAAAAATGGTGGAATGAGATGGACATCATCACCCTAAGCACATGTATGAAGACACAAATGGTGTGACTCTAATTTGTGTATGACAACTACAGACATGAAAAACTGTGCTCTATATGTGTACTATGAATTGAAATGCATTCTGCTGTCATGCATAACAAATTAGAATAAATAATTTTAATAAAGAAATCGATTTAAAAAGTTTGCAAACCTTTTTAAAAATAAAATTCATGAAAAGTTCCAAAAACTTAAATTTCTTGATACTCCATTGATTAAATTAATGAAAGAGTTTCAATTAAATTTGAACAACACTCTAAGGTATAAAAGACCAACTTAAAAAAAAAGCTTCATATCCTTATAGGCACTTCTAGTTGACTTATCAAATAGTTCTTCAAAGACATAAACCTAGAAACCCAAATGTAAACAGGTTTACCTCCATGTTGTGGGAGAAGAGGAAGGAGGGAAAAGGAGAGGAAGAGAGAGAGAGAATGTACCAGAATTGTAGAGAATGTGCCAGGTGTGGTAGCACACACCTGTAATCCCAGCGGCTTGGGAGGCTGAGGCAGATCCCAAGTTCAAACCCAGCCTTGGCAATGACAAGGTGCTAAGCAACTCAGTGAGTCCCTGTCTCTAAATAAAATACAAAATAGGGCTGGGCATGTGACTCAGTGGTTGAGTGTCCCCTGAATTCAATCTCTGGTACCGCACCACCCAAGATGTTGATGTGATATTAGGCTTTTTTTCCAGAATCTATACTTCAGGTTAATACCAATGGCTAAAATAGTTTATTTTTTTGACAAATGGTTCAGACTGGAATAAAGATATATTGACATGTCTCTAAATATAAAGCCATGCTCTAGAAAAGAAGAAAATTGGGCTCGCTCTCTCTCTCTCTCTCTCTCTCTCTCTCTCTCTCTCCACCCACCTCCCCATTTTGGAGGCTGGTCTCTCTCTCTCTCTCCACCCACCTCCCCATTTTGGAGGCTGGTAGATTTATGGTCTTCTCAAGTCCTTTTCAAAATAAATACAATTGGTTTCTAGAACTCCATAGATGTTTATGTGTCAAAATAAATAATAAAAAAATAGGTTCCTAGAGACAAAGTAACATCCTAACTACCTACTAGAATAGTCATAATATCCCATTATAATAAAGTACTATTTATTAAGCTCTTGGGGACTACCCTGCTATTTATTTTATAGGAGTAGAATTAATCAAAGGTCCCTGCTTACTGTATAGATACAATGTGATAAATAATGTGTGGTTTTTATGATACCTCATACTGGTTCAGGAACATGTGGAGCTGCTGTACACTGATTCTGAGATCAGTCTCATTGAACTCATAAGGAATATTCCACCCTAGGGGTCCAAATTTCCTTCTCTCTTGTACCAAAGCATGAAAGAAACAGAGGCCATAAAGCATTTTCTTGAATTCTTCCTGTAATGAGAAGAAATTGTGCCACATCATTATTTTTCTCCCAACATTGCATTTTACTTACCATATTTTAAAATGAAAGTAATTAAATTCCTTTGCTTACAAATAGCATAGAAATATATGCATACTAAAGCATAACTAAAACAGAATTGTGTTTCTACTGACTCCTCAGGCAAAAAAAAAATGCTTATTTTTATTGTATTTAGCATACATAGCTAAATGCACTCGATTTTCAGGAAGCATAGTAAACTCATCTAATTTCATGTTACCTTAAAGGATTTGGGAGGTGCCAACTCAAGTATCACAAGGCAAGAAATGTATGATCCCAGGCTACCATGGAAAATTTCAAAGAAGATTTGAAATTTGAACCAATGAAATAGCTTCAATACCCACAAATAAAATACCAAATGGTCAAAATACTGCTTGAGATTTCCTTGAGATATGCTAACTGCTGTTTTGGAAATTCACTTCTCCCACCAAGGGAGAGGGTGTGTGAGATCTGCCTTCTACATTGAAATGCTGAGAAGGAAGGAGAGTTGATACTTATCCCCTGCAGCTTGGACAGGTGGATAAGTGCAAAACTAATGATTGAAAAAAGGAGAGCAAGCTGTGGCTGCAGAGTAGAGGACTAAGAAAGAGAAATCACCACACCCCTCTGATGGTGGGCTACGCTGGTGGGAATCTCAAGGATCAGATCAGTAGCTTGGGCTAGGCATGGAAGTCTGTGGTCATTTTGAAGGTTCTGTGGTCAAAAGGACTTCTACAAGGGGGTAGAAGCCTATATTCCTATAGTAAGAGTTTGTCTGAGGGGAATGTTGTAGAACTAGAAGCTGAAGGGTCCAGGAGCTGCCATCTGAAAGCAAGGCACTGCCAAGGTGGGTGTGTCATAGTTAGGGGTAGCCAGTAGTGGAGACTACTGAAAACTCACAGGAGAACCATAAGAGAGTCAAAGAGTTATCTTTAAACCCCTGTCTGGTTCAGAGAGCTCCAAATACTACTACCCAGAACAGGAATTTCTGCTCGTTCCCATCTCATCCCCCAAACACACTCCAAACGAGTGGTCAGTACCAATAGCTATCAAAGATAAGAGGGGCTATAAAAAGATGCCAGCTCTATCCTCTTCCTGTGATGGCATGACACTCACTGACTACAGGCTCCAGGTAAGATGCTAGGAATGAAATGTGAAGTAATAACTAATATATTGCATCATACGTTTTGGTTTCTGAATCAAGACTGGCTTTGCAATTTAAAATGATTATAGAATATTTTATTAATTAACAAGAACAAGAAAAGTCACAGGGATGCCTGGAGTTTTATCCAAGAGCAAAGGAAAAGTTTTTTCACAAAATAAATTTCAAAACAAAAGAAAAAAATAGCATATATTTAACCAAAGAAATTGAAGTTAAACATGTTGGGCCAATTCTAAAACTATTTTAGATATATAACAGAATTATCAAATCTGCAAATGTGTCATTGTTGTTGGAACCCAGATAGAAGAAGGTACATAGAGATTAGGTGGAATCCCACCAGCCAAGCCCACACGGACCCTTGGGCCGAGCACGGGTTCTCAGAAGGGGAAAGAAGCGGTACAGTCCCATCCCCCACAGCGGACACTCCGCCGAGGCAGTCAGCGGCCACCATCCGGGAAAGCTGAAGGATACACGGCCACTCTCCTTCAGAATGCGACATCAAAACAGGTCGGTGTCATTCAGCTCACCCCCCAGACAGCGGGAATTCGCATAAAATCTCTCCTAGGCTT